CTGATGCAGTTATGCAGTCCATCTACATTTCTCTACAGAATTTCAATATAAACATATAGACACGGAGGTTAATTTCCGTAATCAGTTACCTACCGGTTTTTTCTGTTCGACGGGACTCTTTCGTAATTCAGAAAAGAGATCGAGTCACGATTCAATAAAAATCGACTCTGGATGGAATTACATTTGATCCGCTTTTAATACCGGGATGTATTTAACAGGCTATAAGAAATTTTATACGCAGTGAGAAGGATATTGCCTAGCACGACCAACTCTTGATTGCAACCTGAACGAAAGAATTATTTTTGTTGAATTTGCCCTGGGCGCAGTGGAGTTCTTCATTCATTAAAGAACGTCATATTAAATTGACCGAGGTTGCTTATCGATAAAGCATCAGGCGTAGAACCGAAAGTTGTCAGGTTGCTAATTAGCAGCTGCCATCCGGTCACAGTATTTTTCCCGACAGTCTTGAAAAATCAGTAAAACTCTACCATAAAATATCAGGAGACTACACCTCATATTTTCCGCGTAATCAGTGAACACTGCCTGCAATGCAAATTACTCCGTACTGGCAGAAATTAGAGTCCAGAAAGAAAAATTAGCGTCGTCCCATAAATTTTACAAAGAAAAGAACACAAGACACGGTGTAAGATATGAAAGTCTGAGGGAGACCGATGGTTCAGCAGTTACAACTTTCCTCCTTTCCCTTCTCTTAATCTGAACGTTTTGGTCGCTGCCACAAGAATCTGATCCCCGCTTGATTGACGCCATCTGAAAACCAGCTAATCGTTTTGCTTTTGTATTTTCACTTCGATTAAGAAACCGATTTTTTATGGCATCGCAGACGGATTCACAATTAAGCAGAAAATCTTCTGATCAAAATTTCAATGCGATTGATTTCGTTCTTTTTAAAAGAAGCATCTTACTAATTCATTGGCTGCATGAATAAGGTGAGCTGAGATACTTTGCCTACAAACTGCTGAATCGAGACCACTTTCCATAAGGTCAGGATTGTCTTCCATCACCTAGTATTCTTTAACCTTTATAGGAAGCTGCTTGATCCATGTTTACCTGGATTTACTTTTCCGTGATACAAACAAAGTCGTTGAGATAGTAATTAATCAAAGTAATGGATTGCAGGCGCAACGTCCCACTGCACCACAGAGTTTTGACTCACTTTTACTACAGGGGACGGGGAAACCGCGAAAATTGTCTATTTGTCAGCTGCCACCCTTCCTAAACTATTTACCACATTGAAGATTTTCAGGCTGTAAACAACCCACGTGCTAGTCTGACCCAGTGTATTCCAAGGAGAGGTTGTGGTTCGTAGTGAAATGGTCATCTTCACGAAGCTTCGAAAGACACTGCAGAAAAGAATCTAAGAATTGAACGACGCCAGCATTCAAGCAGAATTGAACATTAACCTGAAAAAGTCTCAACTCATGGTCAGCAAACATGCAACTCCAAAACCTTCGGATTTAGGTTTAAAGAGGTGCAAATCTGCAGCCACAAAATGCAGCTAATGTGAACGGATGAGCTGCAAAAGTAACTTGGAACATTTCTGAACGATTAAGTACATTATTATGCCTATGCCTAAACTGTCAATGTGCTTGAAATGGAATTTTTATCACTTATCGCAGTACTAACCCAGGAAGGCGAAACTTTGCCCGGAATCAGCAATGCTGTTCATGAACTAGAGACTGTGGATTACAGCACGGAAAGGTGTATGTTCGAAACAATGAAAAGAAAAAAACAAAGGAACGGGTGGATGCGTGAACAAACAGGAATTTTGGATGCAGTTATAA